AAAAAAAAAGAATAAGATAAGACTATAAGAGCAAGAAGCAATTTAAATATGTTTGGGGACCATTTTCATCTCCAGAATTAAAGATTATTTTAATGTTTCATCATTGGCTTTTCTCTTTTACTTTCCTTTTTAGTTTTATTTTAGGATTTCCTATTTTTAATGTTCATACAGAGATTTCTTTAACTGAAATACCAAATAGTTTCTTTGGTGTGAAAAACTGTAATAGTACACAGGATCCTAATGAGATAATTAATAATGTGAAATAGGAGGTAAAGGGCTAAAGGTGTAGGGAAAGTGGGAAGGGTGGGGGAAAGGTAATAAGGGAGAGGAAAAAATATGAGAAACTGAAAAATGGAAAAAAGGTGTTTGTAAATGGGGAGGGGAGAAGGGGGTGAAGGGAGGGCAGGGACAAGGGGAAAAAATGAGAATCAAGACCTATTATGTAAAGATACAGAATTCCAATTATGAATGTAACTGTATTGTATACCTAGATTGTACCAATAAACTCAATAAAAAGTTAAAAAAAAAAAAAAGATTCGGGGCCAGATTTCTCAGGGCCAGCTAAGCATTTAAGAAAGCAGAAAAGTAAGGGAACCAGTGTGTGTGTGTGTGTGTGTGCACACGTTTACTAAGTATTGAACCAATGGTCTTATACGTGCCAGAAAGTGTTAGCACTAAGATGCATCCCCAAACTTTTCCATTTTATTTTTTTCAAATAGGTTTTTGCCAAATTGCTGCAGTTCGCCTAGAGCTTCCTGAGTAACCAGGATTACAAACATGCACCCCTACACTCTGTGGGGCCCCAAAATTACTTCTGAAAATTTTTCTTGTTACCTCAGAAAAGACAGGAAGTAAGCACCTTAAGAAAGTCTAAAATTCTATTAGTCCCTCTCTACACTTAAAGTTTAATATCGTTTTTACTAACATCGGAAGGGAGGAGGGCTCGGGCTGGAGGCCCAGACAACAATGGAAACCAGGAAGAGGAAGAAGGAGCACAAAAGTACCGCGGCAGGAAACAGCGTGGCCCCGCCCACCCCCTGGAATGGGTGTAGCAGTGAGACTGAGGCAGGGACTCAGTGGAGGGGAGGGGTGGGCAGGGCCAGGTCACAGAGGCGGTGTTCTTAACCCAGTGATGAGCAGAACTCCTTGGAGTCCTCCCTCTGTCTCTTCCCTTCTCCTCACTTTCCTCTCTACTGCTGCATGAGGATGTGGTGAGGAAACAGCTCGTCTGACACTACATGGTCCTGCACCTTGGCCTTGGGCTCTGCGCCTCTGGAGTTCCATAAGAGAACCAGTTTCTGCGGTTGGCACGAGTCCTAGCCTGTATCGCTGCTAGGGTAGTCTGAGAAGATTCACATGACCACCTTCTTGCTAAAAGGTTTCAAGTATCTTCCCAGTCCTCAGGAAAGCTGCTCTATCTCTGGCTCAGAGATAAATCCTGACTCACTTCTGCCAGTTGCCGTGGTCTGTCTGGGCTGTTACAACAAAATATCTTAGCTGGGGGGACTGTAAACAACAGCATCTCATATATCACACCCTAGAGGCTGGGGAGCCCACAGTGCAGGCTGCATCAGGTTTGTACCTGGTGGGGTTTTGTTCTCTGGGTCACTTGCAGTTCCATCTACTTGTATCCACACACGTAAGTTCCTTCCAGCCTTGCTTCCCAGGGAGCTAATCCTATTCATCACAATCCAACCATTTCCCAAGGGTTCCACCTATTGATGCCATTTCACTGTGGATTAGATTTCAACATGAAATTTAAGAGGATGTAAACATTCCTAAATATTGTACCAGTGGTTCACAATCTTAAGTGTGCTTCAGTTTCACATAGAGAATGTTTTAAAACACAGATTGCTGGCCCTTCCATCTAGAATTTCTGATTCAACAGATTGGGGTAGAACCCAATAAACTGCATCTGTAAGAAGTTCTCAGGTCTTGCTACCGCTGGTTTTAAGGAGTATCTTTGAGACTCATGGCCCAAGCATGTGATGCTAAGACTTTCCTTCGCGAGTGGTCATAAGGAGGGGCGTGTGACCCAGTTCTGTCCACGGGGAAGAATCACTGGGGTCACCCCAGGTGTCAAGAGACAGAATTAGAACAATTTAAAGATCTTAACTGACTCCATTTTCAATGGTGGAATCTGGCAGCACTTCATTCCACAAAACAGACCGTGTTCTGATGGGCTGAGAAGACAGGATGGTTTTACAGACAGAACAGGGCTAAAAACAGCAGAAACAAATGGATAAAGCAGACTGGTCATCTCCAAGTTACTGTCCCTGTAAGGCAGGAAGACAACACTAGCAAAATAACTGATGAGTTAACCTCAGGCTATTTCTGATCACCTCTTGGGAGACAGGATGGAAGCAGAGAAAGTATCATCATCGTGCCAACTGGAACTGGCCTGTTTGGGAAATAGGACCATTATCTCTCTAATCCTGATTTCTTGGGGACAAGATAAGCAGCTCAGTTTCAGTTCAGGACGTGGAACTCTACCACAAGCAACTCCATTTTGATTTTTAGCTTAGTCTGTTGGGGCCCGATGCTGCTGCCCAGTCCAAAACAAAGGTCTCTTGTTCATTGTGGGAAACATTTGCTTACTGATAAAAAGGATGGAAGGAAGGAAGGGAGGGAGGGAGGGAAAGAAAGAAAGTCTATCTTCTTCCACTGGGTGCTGTCCTCTTGAATGTGGTGTCTGAAGTTGTAGCAGCTGTCTTGGGATCCTGGGAGCTAGACCGTGGCAATCCATGCTGAAGATTTTCCTAGGAGAAAAGGGAACGAGCCTGAACTCTACAGAGGGTTCAGCTACTGAATTAACCAATCCTGGAATCCAGGTCTTTGGAAATAATGTTTTTCTTACTGTTTAAGTCATTTTCAACTTGATTTTTTTACCTGCAGCCTAACTTATTCATGGACTCCCAAAACCTTAAAAGATCCAGGATGATGTGGAGAGAAAACTTCGTACAGAAAGAATCTGGGATGCGTCTTCCTTGTCAGTGTGAGAACAGGCCAACCCGTGGGGTACTGATGCAGAAATGGTTGGAATATAGAGTAGGTTCCTTCTATTTACCAATGCGTGGTGATATCATAGGAAAGAAAAGCCAGTTTAAAAAGAGGAGAGGAGTAAGGAAAACATCCTAAGGAAGTAATAAAAGTAACTGACTTGGGAAGCAATGAATTACAGTTAACTGCCCATTTAAGTTTGTAGTCTCACATATAATGAACAGGTGATCTGTTGGATGATAAAGCGCTTGGACACAGGTTTACAGAAAGCAGACGCTGGCCACGGCTTAGCCTTCTCAGAGAACCTGAAACGCTCAGAAGAGGGCAAAGGCGTCCAGTGACTCAGGGGCGTTTATGATGTCGGGCATCAAATCAAAGCAAGACTCTCCCCATCTTCCCACCCTTTTGAGTTGATTTTCTCCTGCCATCACAGCAGAAGCACCGAGCCAGCAGTTTCCAACCCTTTTTTACTGCCACCTCCATCTTCAAAGCCAGCCAGGGAGAAGCTCTGCTTGAATCCTCTCACACTTTGAATCTCTTCGTCAGGAGGAGCCCCCTGCTCCTGGGAAGGGCCCAGCTGTTAGATTCATTCACCTGCTAATGTCCCATTCATAAAGCCAGCCATGCCACATAACGTGACCTAGTCGGGGTGACTGTCCCATCACTGCCACAAGTCCTGGACACCGCTGGGGATTTTAACAGGGGCAGGTATGGGGTGGGCAATGAAGAATTCCGCGGATCATATTATAAACGATTTACATGAAGAAGGCTCCCAGCTTCGATTCTGAATACATGGGAGGAAAGTATTGTGTGAGTCACCCCTGAACCCACTCTTGCTTCGCCACCAGCCTCGGGCAGTCGCGGCTGTTTCTGTGCTTCCTGCTTTCTACCCTTTCCTTTTGATCTCGGCCCCTCATGAGTTGATATCTCTCGTTCCCAGGCATCCCTGATTCATTCAAACCTCTCCAAGCCAGAAATCCAGGCCCAGCCTTCTTCATGGCTCCTGATTCATGAGTCACACACAGTTGTCTGATGCCAAACTTTGCCTCGTGTCCCATCTATTAAGCCCCAAACCAATGACTCCAAAATGAAGCTCACCAGATATGTTCCTCCTCCTCTCTTCCCCAAACCCGAGGGTCACTCCAGACTCCTTCCTCTTTCATAGCAAGTCTGCGCGTGTCCGTCCATCTGATTTCTTGCTCAGCTCTGCCTCCCCCATCCCTGCCACCTGTCCTAGCCCAGCACCTCAGTAGTACGATCGCCCTCCCTCCCCTAGCCCTGCCCACTCCTACCCATCCCCTCTCTACCACAGTGATCTGCAATGCCAATCTTGCTGTCTCAGACCCTAGCTCATCAGTTTTCCACTGCCTAGGGGAGAGCCAGTTCTCTCAAGACAAGTCGATAGTTGTGTACGAGACACCCTGACGAACTAGCTCTGAGCCACTGTACCCAACACGACAGAGACAGCCTATGCCCTCAGGAAGCTTACAGTTCTGTGATGGGTTGAACAGGAAAAGTGAGGTGGCTGTGGGAGATGCAGCCAGGAGAGCTGGCCTCCCCATGTGGAGGGAGTCACTGAACAAGACAATGACAATGACACTAGGAGGAGGAGAAACAGCTCTCCAGATGAAGGAAGATGGGGAAAGTGCTCCAAATGGAAGGATCCGCAGTTGTAAAGGAATCAAGTAGCATGGACGCATATGGAAACTGAGGGCAGAGGGACACGTTGTAAAGATGGAAAACAGACAAGGACAAGGTCATGGGGCTGTGTCAGGAGTGCAAAGAATCTGGAGTGTTATCCAAAGGGCAGTGTGGGAATCCATGGAAGGACCAAAAGAAACAAGAGGCATATTCATTTTGTATTTTGTATTTAAAGATTACACTGGGTTAGAACGGGGTAGAACGAAGTGGTCCTGACAGAGACACCAGCTGAGAGTTCAGTAGATTACAGGGCTCAGACTCGGAGGTAGCAGAGGGGACAGGTAGCAGATACAATTAATAGTTACTTAAGAGGCAGTGACAAGTCTTGGTGATCGTTTACATAAGGAAGGGGGCAGAGAGGGGAGGAAAGAAGAGATCCCAAGCTTTGGACCCGATGAGCTAAGTGGTCAGGGACACTTAGACTAAGAAAGCTGGTGGTGCACGAGTACGGTGTGCAAATATGACATTTAGTTTTATATGTGGTGAGCCTGATATCTATAAGCATTCAAGTCAAACAGGAAGGGGACACAGGTCTAGAGCTCAGACCTGAAGAAGGAGAGGCAGCCATTCCCAGGCATGACACACATTGATGATCATGTACATAACTTCATTATCTGGCTCCTCACTTTCCAGTATTTCATGAAAACCCATTCTTTTTTTCTCATTGAGGTTATTGGTACTTTTTAAGCATATACTACAGTTACATTCATCATTGGGATCTTGTACCTTTACATGACAGATCTTGGTTCTCATTTTTTCCCCATTCACCAGCCCTCCCTTCACCCCTTCCACCCTTTCCATTTTTTTTTTTTTTTTTTATTTTTTTTTTTTTTTTTTTTTTTGGTACCAGGGATCAAACTTGGGTCCTTGTGCTTGTGAGGCAGGTGGCGAAACCACTGAGCTAAATCCCTGGCCCCACCCTTCCCTTATTTACAAAGACTTTGTTTCCACTTTTTTTCCTTTTCTCATTATTTTTTCTTATCCTTTATTTCCTTTCCCGTACCCTTCCCACTTCCCCTATACCTTTAGCCCTTTTCTTCCTATTTCACATTGTCAGTTATACAATTTGGATCTTATTTATACTTTTAGTTTTTCACACCAGAGAAACTATTCAATATTTACACATGTGTGTCCTATTTATTTTACTTACAAGTATGGCCTCAATATGCATCCATTCTCCTATGAATGACTCTAGTTTCTCATTCTTTATGGCTGAGTAGTACTCCATTTTATAGAAAACCCACATCTTCTTTATCCAGTCTCCCACTTGAAGGGCACTGGGGTTGTTTCAAAGGTTTATCTATTACAAACTGTGTCTCTATAAACATGGGTGAGCATGTATCTCTGTGGTATGATTCTTTTAATTCTTTTGGAAAGATACCCAGCAGAGGGATAACTAGGTCAAATGGGACCTCTATTCGCAGTTTTTTGAGGTATCTTCATATTGATTTCCACAGTGGTTGCTCCAGTCTGCACTGCCACCAATAATGGAGAAGGGTTCCTATCACCCCACAACCCACCAGCATTTGTTATTGGTTGATTTCTTGATAGCAGCCATTCTCTCTGGGGTGAGGTGGAATCTCAGTGTTGTTTTCATCTGCATCTCTCAAATGACCAGTGATGTTGAACATTTTTTCATATATTTATTTGGTGCTTTTACTTCTTTGAGAAATGTCTGTTCATTTCAGATGCCCATTTTTGAATCAGGTCTTTATATTTGGGGGGGGTCTGTTTTTTTGAGTTCTTTATATATTCCTTTGTTGAGAAACAGCTGGTAAAAATTTTTTTTGCCATATTGTAGGTTGTCTCTTAGCTCTCTTGGTGATTTCTCTGGCAGTGCAGAATCTTTATAAAAAGATGAGATCCCGGCCGGGCATGGTGGCTCACACCTGTAATCCCAGCACTTGGGAGGCTGAGGCAGGAGGGTCACTGTGAGTTCCAGACCAGCCTGGGCTACATAGTGAGTTCCAGATCAGTCTCAACTATACAGTGAGACCCTGTCTCCAAACACCAAAAAAAAAAAAAAAAAAAGATGAGATCCCAGCTGTTGATTCTTTGTGCTAGTTCCTGAACTACTGAGGATTTGTTCATGAAGTCTTTTCCTATGCCAATGTTGAAAGTTCTACCTAACTTATCTTCCAGCAAGTTTAGTGTTTCTGTTTTAATATTTAGATCTTTAATCCACTTGAATTTTAGTTTAGTCATGGTGAGAGGTAAGGATCTAGTTTTAATCTTTGGCAGGTTGAAATCCAGTTTTTCCAACACCATTTATTAAAGACGCTGTCTTTCCTCCAGTGAGTACAGTTGGCTCCTTTGTCAAGGATGAGGCAGCTGAGTACGCTTGGATGAAAACCCATCCTTGGTGCCATCAGCGCCCACCTTGCTTCTTTGGTCTGCAGTTCTCTCACGTGACTCCTCCCTTTTAAGAACAGTCCCCTTGCCCAGCCTGAGCATGGTCATCCATGGTCACCTAGTGAATGCCGTGTAACCTTCAGCATCCTAAGCAGCTCAGGAATCGCTCACTCTTAGGCCTTGTTTGGCCACCTCCTCCCCAGGTTCAATCGATACAGTCTTCACTGGTCTATTTTTTCCCCTGTCATCCATCCCTATTGCTATGCTTACCTAATTCTAGTATTCTAACAACACATTTCCATGTCTTTGTCCCCTACTTGACTGTGAGATTCTTCAGGCCAAGGGCACTTTGTATTCTCCTTTTCGTAGCTATACTTAACCAAGTGTCAAATTCATGATGGTGTCCTGAAATGTTCCTGCGCCTTCCTGGACCCAGGCAGTGCACAAGTCTTGGGATGGCATAAAGGATCATGGGAACTGCGTATGTAGAGCAGGAGGCAGACAACTGAGTAATAAAGGCTAGTGCTTATGGATTGCTTTGTTTGTGCCAGATATCACTCAAGCCCTTGATGGGGTTCTAGCTCATTCTGCCTTCAGCCAATCCCACTTAGTAGGCATTATTATCACTCTCATTTTATAGATGAGGAAATAGAGGCCAGAGTAGGTAAGCACAGACTCTAACAAGTGGAGAAGGCAGGACTTCAGCAAACTCAAGGCTGCTTACTCCAGAGCCCTACAATCTCAGGAAGTTCCTCGCCTTGGTTCAGACGAGAGCATGCTACTGCGTTTGGAAGAGGCTGAAGGCCACGGAGGGTGGGAATTCCAACACACTGGCATGGCAGAGAATACAGCCCAGAAGCTGGGGGCTCTGCCTGACCAGAAGCCACGAGGGACAAAAGCTACTGTCTGTGAAGAGTCTGCTCCTCCATGATTTGTCCCAGGGGGACGCTGTGCAGGTGCCCCAGATGACAGCAGTGCCAGACAAAGCTGGAAGTGGAAGTGAAAGGTGAGGAGGCCAGAGTTGAGGGAACTCAGCCAAGTTGCCAGGTCTTGGGTAATTTTAGCCCCAAGGCTCTGAGCCAAGGACAGGCAACTATGCCTAAAATAACCTCCCAGGAGAATCTTGACAGCAATTTGCAATCTCTATGCCTCCGGGACTTTCAGATCAATGTAACTAATATGGACTGGACCCCTATTATATGCTGGCACCATGAGAAACAGCAAGAGTCCATGTCCGGCAGAAAGGAAGCAAGCCCATGAGAAACAATGAGCCAGCTGTATAAATTAAGGTTCAGTACATGCCAACCTGTGCAGCAGAGCCGCACAGGCAGCGGACTTCACAGAAAGGAGGGAGCCTGGTGTGCTGGCATGGGCCGTAGTGGCTTCCTGGAGCATATAAGCCCGAACGTGGTCTCAGGGAGGAAGATAAGCCAGAAAGAGTACTGTTCCAGGTAGGAAGGAAGCAGAAGTGAGCAGTGAGATTTAGTGCATGCTGCTATCCGCAGCAATGAGAACCAGCTAAGAAAGCCCTGTGTGGGACAAAGGGTTCTTATAGGAGAAGAATAGGAGGTAAAGTTAGTCGACTAAGGAAGGCCAAACCAAAGGATCCTAGAGTCTGAGAACAGTAGCTCAAGCAAATTCAACATGCAGACCCAGACATCATCCTATGGGCAACCAGAAATCACCTCAAACTTTAAACAGGCAGATAATACTATTTAAAATGAAATTTGGGGAGGATTCATTTGCTCTATTTGTTTGAGATGAATTAGAGGTAAACACTAACAGCAAAAATCTGTCCCTACAGCAAGTCAAATGCTTTTTTGAGTATCCACTAAAGTCTGAATGCCTATGAGCGTAATAAGCAAAATCTCCCCTACCCCTCACTATTGCCGGCTTCACAGGCCACAGGGGAGGTTGTTCGTTCCCATGGTTACCTATGAAAGACCTACTTTGTGCCAAGGATTATACCAGTCACTGGGGACACAGCAAAGAGCAAAACAAAGTTTCAGCCTTTGTGAACTTTATCCTCCAAAGGGCATGAAAGACAGCACAGAACCAAACCAAGAATTCTATCAACATAAAAGCAGGTAAAAGTGTTATAAAGACCAGTAAAACAGGGCACTGGGCAGAGATTGACAGCACAGAGAAGCCTGGGAAGACCTCGCCAAGAAACTGATGCAATATCTCAAGCCCAGGAACCAATCTCATGGAAACAGCACCACTAGAAGGAAAGATACTTGGAAGGGGACTTAGTCTGAAAAAAGACAACAGGACACAAAGAAGTCTTGTTTTAAGTGTGTCAAGTCCGAGATAACAGCAGGGTATCCACACACACACAGAATTGCTGAAACTCTGAACTCTACCACACAACTAGATGAGGAGATAAAGGTTAGGTGTGTGCATTTTTAAACCATCCACTGAGGGTTGGAGATACAGCTCAGTAATAGTCTGAGCACCAGCACAACCTCTCCACAAAGTTCACTGACATTTAAGCAGTAAGATGCCTTCTCTCTGAACCAATATGAATGCAGTGGAAGTAACTCAAGGGTTAAAAAATAATTTTGCAGCAGAGTATAAGACACACAAATAGCTTTATCCTGTCTCCAACAATGGTCCTTTCCCTCCAGCTCTCGGAAATTCCAAGGGTGACACTGACTTTCTGTGGGCAGCAAGAATCTGGTAATAAAATAACAATATTAATAACTGAGGCTCCACACAACAAGCCATGGGAAAGACCCCTCTGCCTGTATCTCCAGTGTCCAAGGCCAGTCAGGGACAGTGCTTCCTCTTTGGTTCTCCTGTACTCAGACCTACTCCTCTTTGGTACCCAGATCATGTTCTGTCCCTTTGTGACTTTCCCCTCCACAGATGGATGTGGGTGCTTTCATGTACAGGAAAAAGAGATCTGGGGGAAAAATATGAAAACTGGCCCTTCAGCATTCCTAGGAAAGGCAAGAATCATGCTGAGACAGACACAGGGCCTTGACATGGTTTGGGTATGGCTCAAGTGTTGTGATTTATCCCCCATGTGCGGTTATCAAAGGGGTGAAGCGTTCAGGATGTAACTCACTATGAATGGTGGCCAGAGGAGGCCTTCTTTGTGGGGAGGGTGTGCTGGTGCTCAGACTGTGATGGCTGTGATTAGATAGTCAGGTGATGTGGCTTAGATAAAGCCCCACGAGTAAGTCTATGGCTTTATAGGAAGACTCCAGAAGAGACACACATGTGCTCTGTGTCTTGCCATGTGACGCCCTGTGCCATATATAAGGACACTGCCACAAGGCCGTCACCAGAGGTGGCTCCTTGACTTTGTACCTCTAGAGCCAAGCCAAAATGAACCTCTTGTCTTTATAACTTACCCAGCCTGTGGCACTGTGTTATGAGAAACAGAAAATGGACCAATGCAAGAAGTGGGCGCACTGCACCGTTCTGCCTAGAACTACCTCCATTTTCGCTCTAAGTCCTGCATCTCAGAAACCCCTCAACCCCAAAGAAAATAGGGTGACTGGTCACGGTGGTCATGTCTGACCTGCACTTCTCTAGAAGTGGCATCAGCCCGTGTACCTCTCCAGTTCCCAGGCTCATCTGACCCCCACCCCGGAACTGGCTTCCTGTCCCCGGCCGGAGGAGTCGCACTTAGAACTCCTGAGCTTGAACCGATGCTGGAGTCCTTCCTTCGACTCCCATGACCTCCCACTCTGCCTCAGCTACGCCTGAACCACCAGACCAGACCCACCTGTGCCCTCAGGTGATGGCACTGCCCAGGACACGAGCTGGGGGGCTGGGAGTCAGAGTCAGGTGACGAACGAGGGGGCGCAGGGAGCCCTCTGGGACACACCAGCGAGGGAATAGGGGAACCCCAGGCAAATGACGGAAACAGGAAATGCCTGGCCAGTGTTGGGTCTGAGGCAGGGCTGACTCACCTCAGAGAGGAACTGGCGAGGCCGCACCTGGGGCCACATCATCAGCTCTTCTGGAAGCTGCCATGCAGGTACCAGGAACGCTCACCAGTCACTTTCGCCAGTTATTAAAGAGTGCTCTGAAATGGCAGAGATTCAAAGAAAATGTCAAGACAAATCAAATTTGGCGTGCTCCCTTGTTACAGAATTTCCCTGAATGGCAAGGTTAAAAGAATAATACACAGGGAACACACTGTCCAAGAATAATCTCCACTTGGCCCCTGGCCACCCGGACACCTAGAGTCCAGACTAAAACACAGACTGCTGTGTTAAGTGGCCTTGACCAACGCCCACCCTCAAGTCCTTCCTTGAACCACGAGCAGCACAGGCACAGGGTGGCGGCTGTCTTGGCTTTTTTTACTGAACTGTCTGGGAAATGACCTCAGCTGCCAAGAAAGGGTCTTCCCCAGGGTGGCAGGCCCAGGCAGAGGCTGCATCTCTGACCTTTGCAACTCTCTGGCCTGTTTGATTTCCCTTCCTGCCCCTGCCTCGCCTTCTCCCTCCCTGAAGCCCTTTGGCCTGTCTGTCTCCCCTTTGCCCCTTCCATAACTGGAGTATCAAGAACCAGAGGGACTACAGCCTCCCAGTGAATGTTTCACCCTCCCCAATTCTATGTCCTCACGCTTCCAGCGCCCCTCCCTAGCCTCTTACCTAGACTGTCTGCTCTGCACACACACACACACGCATACGTACATGCATCACACACACATGCACGCACACCATACCCTACACTGGCTCTGGGCTGGCACAGAAAAGTCAAACCCAAGGAAATAGCAAAGAATTATTGAAATACTTCCTCTCTAGATGAGAAATAATCTTACCAGGGCCCCTTCCCAGACTTGCCTCCCAGCCCAACTTCACTTCTCAAGCGGTTGTGTGCACGTTCGGTATCTGAAGGCTGTTAGCTTACGTGCAGCGGCAGCTGTACAAACACCGAGCAGGTAGGAGACCAGCACGCCCCCCCCCGCCCCAGCTTCCCTATTAACCAACTAGCAAGGCACGCATCTCTGAACTTTAAAACAAATCAGGCAGGAAAGAAATACTTTATCGGCACGTGGAGCTGTGATCGGTGGCTTATTATCCGATCCCTCCCTTGCCTTCTGTCCGATCCCATAAGTGGGAAGGTAACAGCCCCTTCTGAATTAAGACAGCATATTTCTCCGCCAGGTGGGACCCCCAGAACCCCTCCTCCGGAGTGCTTCTCAAGCTGCCAGGGACTAGAGAAACTGCGCACCCCTCCCCTAAGGAATGGACCCTGGGGCAGCACGCGACCAGGGCGTGCACAGCTCATGCCGACAGCCAGGTGCCCAGCCACCCCCCTCCCTTGGTCCGGCAACGCGGCCGCCAGCAGGAGGCGGGTCTCGGGCCAGAGATAAAAGCGGG